TTAAAAAAGATCTTTGTTTTATTAAATGCTAGTTGTTATAAATATACAAACCACTTATATATAAATGCATAGTACTTTGAAACTTATCAAAAAAATTAATGTTTAATAGGGAAGAAAGGTCAAAGTGAATGGATGGATTACGTAGATACCGAATTACGACAAATCCTCGATCCATCTAAAGTTAGTGTGCAATCAACATTAAGTGACAGTGTATCTTCTGTAACTCCACCATTACCACCACTATCTCCTGATGGTTCATCTGATGATATGCAAACACCCATACATAAACAGTAAGATTTATTATTAAWTTATTTCCCAATTTCATTCATGGCTGATATAAGGAATTATATCGTTTTTAGCCGAACTGAGTATTCAGTAAAATCTCGAGGCCAAGCTTCAAACCAAAGAACTCCCTGGTCAAACAGAGCACCAAAAGAAAAATCACATAGACAAACAAGTACTATTAAGAGACCAGATTTAAAAAGAATACTTCAATGTAAGAACTTGATAATGACAGTATAAAAATAATTTGATTAATGAAATAAAATATAATTATTATAGCAAGTAGTGTTGGTGATATGGACTCAATGTTTGATGAAGAAGCAAGTAGTGACGACGAAACTGTTAACAGCGATGTACGCACTATACGGAAACAGTTAGAAGGATTGGAAACTATGTATTCAGAGGTCAGTAATTTAATATTCATTTTCCACCCTATTTGATATTAAAACCATAAACCACGTGTACAGGTACTCAAATTACTTGGGGTTCGTAAATCCGGCGGTGGTCCTAGATATCAACCATCCGATCCTAGAGTTAACCGACGACGAATGTATGGTAGTATGTCTTCAATTCCGTCATCGGTTAGTAGTAGACCTTACCGTGAGAGACATCGAAGGTCAACAGACGATCGAAAGAAATCTGTCAAGGACATAAAAGTAAGTTTATTGAAAGACATCAAAAATATAATAATATGAATTTTATTATATTAAGTCAATAATGCTACATAATATGAATAGAATAATAAAAMATAATAATTATTTTATTTTTTCTTATACGTACTYGTATTTATGAATAAATAAAAATAAAAAATATACCGCACTAACAAACTTATATATTATAACCTTATCATACAAATAAGTAAATAATAAAAAAAATCATTTTCAGGKTATTAATAAACGTTTCCAACGTTTGGAATCTCACGTAGTAACCCTGGCAAGAAGTGTCGCACACCTGTCATCTGAGATGAGGACTCAACATCTAATGATTCAAGAAATGGAAGTTATTCGAAATGAACTTTCCGCATTAAGAACACAGACAAACATGTTATCTATACGTTCACATTCTGTTCCTCGAGTCCTTCAATCTGTCTGTCCGGAACAGACCAACTCGAGTCCGAATAAAGTGAAGAAGCTAACTAAATTTTTTGGCGACGAGCCTCCGCTTTTAAGGCTGTTTCTCAAAAAATTAGGATATGAGGTAATAAAACACGATCTCGGCCACTGAAATTTAATACATTGATTTTATAATAATTGTTTGAAGAAATCGTAACAAATTAGCTTATTTTAAATGACCTATATTGAAAAACAATAATCGATAATTTTAATTATAAATATTTTATTTTAGTTATACTAAGTTTATATAACCATTGACCTGCAAAAATATTCACCTAACTATTGGTTGTTTTGGCCCTTTCAGAAATATGCATCGGCATTCGAGAAAGAGAAAATCGGCTTGGTGGAATTGCCATATATGAGTGAGGAAAGGATGCATAAGCTCGGTGTTCCCATGGGACCGAGGTTAAGAATAATGCAAGAAGCTCAATTAGGTTTTCCTGGTATGCACGAGAACACATTAGCCATCGTGTGAACATTGTTTGCGGCAAAACTGAAAGTTTGCCGATTAAAAGTATAATAATATTATGTTATGCCATTAAGTGTTACATGTAAATATAATCATTTGGACAAATGTTTAAAAAAATATATTCGTATAAAATATTGTTTGATTATTATTAAATTACGTTTTATATGCCATTTACTTATATTGTATCTGTCGTTTGATGTGATTTTTCTTTACTTTAATATAGAAGTAATAATATTAATACAAATACACATGTGGGATATATGTAAAAGACTTGAAATAACCAAAGTATAACTGACGTAGGTACAAATTAATTCAAAACATTTTTCATATTTAAATACATTTTTTTTAAACTGATATATAATTTATAATACATCATCACTGAAATTCGATTTGTATAAATAATTTGGAAATTAGTTTCTATAACACGAATACAATTTAATCCATACCTAACTATTAATTCGTATACATCAAAATGTTCCCAGCATTGTTCAGCAGATCATAACCAGTGGCCGTTGCTCAAGAACCGACGGTGGTTAGGGGCAATAACCTTTATTAAAGCGTTGTTTRTTTAATAAATTATATRTGTATAAATATATTTAAATATTATCCATTTCGTAAAAACATATTTTATGTATATATCGTTGTCGTGTTAAATATTTGAATGGAAAGTAAGTATAAACAATACGATCGATTTAAATATTTCTCTCAATTTACACGAGGACTGTATACAGAAAAACATGTGTGTAAACATATCGGGTTTTATTTTAAACGAACCCGGCCATACGTGGTAAACTGTGTAAGATGAAGTCGTGAGGGAAGTATAATACACCAACGTTATGTCTGAAATGTGTAGGCCGAAAATAAAGTTATTTGTTCTCCGTCATCTGCAATAATGTGTTAAAATTAATACATACCCATAAATTATTTGTTGTAAAACATAATTATGCTATTCAACAGTAGTAGTAAACTTGTGAATGGTGTTTTTCTATTTAAGACTAAATCTCAGTATTATCGGTTTTCATTTTTCGTGTMTATATAATTGTTGTGAATATATTATTCACTGGTGAAAGTGATTATGTATGATATAATATAATAATAATAATAATAATAAAATTAAACTTAACAAATAAAGAAATGTATTACATTAATGATTATTCCTCCATGAAGTAAATCCGACAAAAATTATAAATTTCCATATCATTATAAGAAGATGAAACATTATTTTAAATCGCTAGAAGTATAAATTAAGTTCCTATTACTACGCGTTAATATGATAGCATTAAAACGCTTCCACTATGTAATTTAAGAATTTTAAACCGGTTAAGCTTCAAACCGTTTTAACGCCATCATATAAACGTAGTATTTAACTGATAAGAACTGTACAATGATAATCCGAATTTAATACTATAATTTCGTATCTATTCTGTTTGAATTTAAGTAAATAAATATTCTTCAGTAAACATCAGATAAAAAATACTTCTGACGTTCTGACTTCTGACTATAATATAAATGAACGCCATTCATTTTTTGAATAATGACGAATATAAGTTAGTATTTTTAAAATAGATTCATAAAAATAATATGTGGCATCATAAATTCATAACAAGTAACATTTTTTTTCATTTACAATTTTAAAATATCTGAAGTATGAAGTACCTGCCTTCCACAGTTCCACCTTATATCTAATATAATTCAAGATTAAAATTAAATTTTTATGAGCACCTATATACAAGTTTCGAAGTAGCAATATAAATTGCACGAATATTTAATAGGTATTAAAAATTTGTTTGTACTATAGTTTTCTATAAAACTATTGGCTACTTAATAAATTGTTTTTTTTWAAATTAATTTCTAACACAGTTGATAATATTCTATATTTATTACATATGATTATTATAATTAATGATTTACAATACTGTGCTGAAATTTCAAACATTTTATAAGTAGCTAATATAATATCTGTTGTATAATAAATATATCTAGTTAAATTATCAAATTCATATAGTTTGTGAAAAATACAATATTCTTTGTTTTAATAAACTTAGGAAGTTTATTTTAAAAAATGATTCAAGAATATTTATGAAACATTAAAAGTTAATTTATAGTTTAGGTATACTATTAAGAAAATAATTTAATTTTAACTTTATCACTTAGTTTAAATATCATACAATATTCTGTGTAGAAAAAACTGACACTTAGACTTAATGTAAATGCCTATAATTAACTATAGATTTATCACATTTCTAAGAGTCGCAAACAATTGAATTCATAAAATATGTTTATAAATCGTTGTCGATCTGAACAGCATCAGGAATATTTGACATGGTTATAGATGATAAATACTCATGGGTTCTTGTCCGCAGGCGTGACGAATTTAATTTCACGCGTTACCTTTACAACCTGTGGTGTCAGAGGCTTGTGAACCGGCTGTGGAAATTCATCTCCCGCCGATGGCAGACTCGGACAACTCAATCTATTGTGAGCAAAATATAAAACACACAGTAATTAAAAAATAATATCATTCTGATGAAAAATAATCTTGAGATGAYGTTGTAGTGATTGAATAGATCAACATTTTGAAGTCCTTAAGGACTTAGCTTTGAGGAACATGTCATTATTATTATTATTATGTAATTCAATTTTTCTAGAAATTTAATTATGTAATTTTACACAGGCTTCGATACTAATTAACTTATACGCTTTATTCATATATCTAATAAAACCTGCAATAACTGCAATATAATAATACTTAAAAAAATTAATAACTACATGCGTACAACGAATCGTAATTTAAAAACTCGTACCTACAGTTATGTTTARTTAAACGGTGATTTAATAGTATAATTATTACTGCAATAAATACACTGGGACAATAAATCGGAATAGACTTCCAATTAGAGAATTCCGGTTGAGTGGGTATCATCAGTATCTTCATCCTTCAATTGGTCGGCGGTCGTGTCTAGCGGATAATTAAAATTATGATCTTCAGTCATGGCCAAACTACAGTCGATCGAGCTATTTATAATCAATTTATCTATCTCATATTTTTTATGATTTTTATTCATACGGTACGTTACGTGTACAAGAACGTAATCTACGATTAAAGTGAAAATTCCAGTGTATTTTATAGTAGTAACAATACATTTAACAATACACTAATCTAAATATTAAATTATTAACTATGAATATTGGATGGATAAAAAAACAGTAATAAAATATAAAACATAACATATTATAATACAAAAATCAATTATTAAAAAAAAGGTTTATAGGATTATCTTGGTTTCTATTACCTATTTCAATGGATGGTCTCATAAAATGAATAACAAATAAAACATAGATACTCATACTTCTTATATCTTATGTGACTAGGAATCTTGTAACGACCAATCACAAAAAAACTATTCTAAACTGATTTTCAAGTCACTAAGTAGATAASTTTACATGACAAACTTCAATATATCATGATTTGCGAATAGGTACTTGGGTATACATAATATATACATTTTTATTTTATTTTTAACTATATTATTTGCATAATTTAATATGATATTCTATTAGACAGTACCTAGTTAAATGTTTAAAATCTATATTGTAAATAACTTATTCACAGATTTACGATTTAAAATGTGTATGTAGGTATTATTAAATAATATGCAACTCATTATCATCAAATTATTTGAATTTAGACATTGCTAARGTATTGGATATTTATTGTGATAATTTTTTTTTCATAATTTTGTGTGATACTTATTAATATAATTTATTAAAATACTGAATATTGAAAAATAATCCGGAAATCACCATTAAGAAATTAGCAGCAGACAAGTACTAACCAGTCAGCCGACCAACGCATAACAATACCTATATARATATTTAATCTGTATTACCCATGAGATAGGTATACACAAAGATTGTCAGCAACAAATATTGAAATATCTGCATTTATGTGTACAGTTTATCTTTGTTGAAGGTAAGTATATAAACAGCATATTATAAATTCATATGGAAAAAACTGGTAATTGCATTTTCTGCAATGTAGCTGAACCGCGGTGTTTAGTTCATACAATCGTAACCAATTATGGCAATTATAAACATTATTCAAGAAYAGTGCGTTAAACTGCTGTAGCCACTATCTAGTGGCCTTTATATTTTTCAGATATTTAGATTATTATTGAAACCTGCACCAGTGATAATTTATCGCCAATTTCAATCGGTTATACAACTGTTTAAAKATTTAAAATATTCTMTAGCAGCGGTTATAACCTATAGATTGGAAATCTAACGAGTGCATTCTGATACGATGAGCTTAGATTAACATTTCCTCGGTAAATTGTCCTGTTAATTGTAATAGCTGTTATGTAAGAACAACTATAATTTGAATAGTCTTACATTTACAATAAAATGTTTATAATTATATATATAGTGTATGATAGACAGTGTTGATTTTCACTTAGTGTTGAAACATATTAAATTTCTCATGAAGATTGCGTATTTATATGTTTTAAATAACCTGTCAACCACATCAAGATGTCATATTAAATCAAATTATCATAWACCTATTACGGCCTCATAAATGATGCCTACCTCTTGTGGGACCAAGCATCTTCGGGCACATTCAAATACTGTTCGGACGAGCGGTCGACGGGAAAACACGCCACTGTCAGGTTGTCGTTGGGAACCGACAGAGATCGGATCGATCCAAACGGTTCATCCGGGAATAGAGTATTTCCACTGTAAAGTTCCTTGCAAGCACTGAAAAAAACGTCGTTGGTGAAAAAGTATTAAAATAACACATGCATAACGGAAAATACAAAATTACAACTCAGTCAGATCAGATTGGTATTTTTTTAAATAATTTTCAAAAAAAATCKTTGACATTGTACGTCACAACTGAATAAATAACGGGATGAAAACGGTTAAAAACTTTTTTACAATGTTTATTAAAACTTATCCTAATTCCAACTAATAAAAATTGATTTCTGYCATCAATCAAAACTTTTCACGTTCGATATAGACGCCAATAGRAAGATTTAAATATTTAACATACCATCAATATGCGTATTGCGTATGGTTCTATCTCTTTAATTTCGACACGGAATTAATATTTAAACCAGCTGAGACGCTGAGTTGTAATAGGTGCATAATAGATACATAAAATGAACATTATTGCAGCAGTTTATTCTGGGTCGCATATAGTTATGTTGTAGGTACAATCGTGTATATTATACTCACCCATGGGCGGAATCAGTGAATATCAAAAACGGTTTCGGAGTCGGACATGTGGACACGGGACTCGGACTCCTGGTGGTGCTCCCGTGCGCACCGTTGTGTGGACATTGCGGAGGAAAGTCTTCGACAGCCAATGTTTCCTGTGAGTCTGCTTTCGATCGATTCAAACAGTTGCATGTCCACGGGTCTTTGTCAATGTTTTCTGTAGAAACTGTGAAAACCACACCGTTCAGGTATATTATTACAAGATCGGCGTCGTTGATTACACGAAAAAAAAGTATAGTATAGATACAATACCTATTGAATATATAGGTATACAACTGAAATTTGCTATGTCATCGATTATGTAGTATTAAATAATATTTAATGTACAAAATWGGTGGAATTATGTACCGACGGTGTGATTTTTTTAAGCTTGATTGCAAGGTTTTTGATTAAACTGTGCATTTATTAATTTTGATTTATAAAAATTAATCTTATAAAGACCGCGTTTTCAAATACTTAAATTTATCGATACACACTTACAGGAGAATTTCCTCGGATCGGGTCCAGGACTGATTGGAAAGAAGTCACCATGGACGGGACAGTGAAATCCAACACGAGTTTGTCGGAAACGGGCGTTAGTGCTAATTGTCCGGAGCACTGCTGTTGCAATGAACATTATGATCGACATGACCAAACATATGGGTCCCAACAATCGTCCGTTGTCAGATTTCGAGTAGAACTTACGTTTCGAGTCGTCATCGACACCTCCAGTTACCCAGCCATAAGATATAACTGCGTGAATAAATTTTACTTTATTAGAACAATAGACACAATAGCTCTATACATTTTACATGCAGCTAGTCGCTGGTAATATAGTTTATTATTGACAAACATAAAACAATAAACTATAAATTATAAAGCCGCGTRCACACTTGTAACATTAGCGCGTAAGACAACTTACTAGTGGAACGGTGTTACGGCGTTATAGCGTAACAGAAAATGTTACAAGTGTGTACGCGGCTTAATACATAATAATATGATTATGACTAAATAAATCTATGGCCCTAAATTGCCTACACATAGCGCCGTCTTAAACATATAYTAATAGGCTTATTATATAATAGGTACAGACTAAACCATTGGAGTTCATCAACCGAATGAGTCCATAAGCCGAAAAACTTTCGAAAACTAATACACAGAATATTTTTTAAAYTTGCGACTAAATTAAAAATATTCACACATTTATTTTGTTCTATTTTTTGTGAATTATYCTAATTTCAAATATTGATTTTTTACTGAACTTTWGTATACTTATACATTAAGAMCAATTATAAAAATATTATATTRTATAATGTGTCAGCACTTGGAAATATATTATTAATAGGTTTCAAGTCAAATWACTAAGTATATATARGTATAAAATATACATACAACTACTTTATAACATTACGGGTTTTATCTTTTATACTTCTGTATTTTACTATTAAAATATTAACGTTATATACCCTGATTATGGCAATGTTGAATTGGGTAAAATAATTAAAKTGGGTGTCGTATTACGCCTATTACGGTATCGTACGTATATCTAATGGGAGATGGAAAAAAAGTTATCATTTATCATCAATTATTATTATTATATTATTATTTTAGTTAATTTATCATTTGACCAGTTTAAAAAATCTGTGAAAGTTTTTTTTTTAATTTGTATTATTTTAAATGAATCAAGATATTATTCTAAAGAATTTGAGTTGTGCATTTTTTCAGTTGTGTGATGGAGGAATCTATACTTCGTTTGACGGTGCCGAACATAACGTAATTCTCTTCAAATAGCTGAGTTATAATTTTAATTTGTTGTCAAGATAATTCGAAATAAATTGTGGACTATTATAAAATTGTTATTGGTTCATAGTTAACCTTATTATATTCAAATAAATATAAATAATACATTATTTTATATGGCCCAAGGAATAAGGCCTAATTTACATGATCGTATATCATACGGAATGTATTATATAGTATGACGTGAGTTTTTAGTTTACAATCAATTAATATATGCACCATACCATCCATTCCGATGAGGACCCCTCTGGATGCGTCCCTGTCAAGTCTACACCGACAATATAATAACTGAGAATTATTAATTTTTAGTTGATTATTTTATTTTATTTTTCATTTAAATCTAATTGAATTTATGAAAAGTAATGGAATAGATTTAAAATAAATAGAAATCGATCCTAATTAATCCTATCTCATTGTCTGCTAATCAATCGTTGACTCGATGAAAACTAATAATTTTTATCATATTAGTCGTAAGCAATTCTACTTCTCGTCCATTACGACTATACATAATATTATTGTTGAGTACAATTAATGATAAAATTCAAAATTTCGATACTATTAGTAGTCGAACGTTCTTCCCCACATCGTCGTTCCGACTTTAATATGTACCTACGTTCTTACTGACAAATACACGTACAATTAACCGGAAATTATCCTTTTTATATAATRCCTATACTATTATTGTGATCGTTAATTTTACAAACGGTTGCCATCTATAGYAGTAAATGTATATTATATAAGATATAAATACCTGTAGGCGTTCTAGGCCTCTAGGATAAAATTTAAATGTTTTTCTTAAAGCATGAATCGCTTACAGCTGTTGCTGATTTTGATCAGCTACAGCCAGTTTAATTGCCTCGGATTACAAACAACTCTTACCTGTGAGCACTATGCCGACGACCAGGAACAGTGTGCCGAAGACGGGCAAGGCGATCTGACAGTTGGAACGGACCGTTACGCCCCACACGGAGACGCCGTCGTCGACTTTCCTCACGGCCGACGACGACGAGTGCAGCGTGCGTCTGGTGGCTGGCGGACAACTCGTCGAGCCGATCGGTCGTAACTGATCGTCGCCAGACGTCATCCGGCCGGCTGCTGTGGAAGTGTGGACGTTTAATGGTTGCTTTACGCAGGAAAACTATATCAACAACATTTAATATTAATTCATATAATAATAATAATAATAATAGTAATAATATTAACAATAAAAAAACAATATGTAATAATGTTCAAGCCCCTCGCGTGGGTAGTCGATGGTGCTAGATTGTATTTTAAACACCGAGTGGGTCGATATTACAGGTAGGTATATTCGGCCGTATACATCATTCACGAACAAACAACATACATACACACAATCGCCCTAGTGACCACTGCACGAAATATGCACACAAAGTGACTTTTTGCAGTATAATAGGTAGTCGTTTTTCGGTAATTCAGAATTCTTATGTACTTACGACTTACGTGTATTCGAAAATATATTATTTTTTTTTACACAATTCAAAATCATTACAACATCGGTGATTTTTGTGAACAATTATAATCAGAATATTTTTCTAAATATTAAAGTGTTTAGAAATCGAATTTCAAATTATGTACGTAATTACTTTCGTATTTAATCATCAATAAGCCCTAAGTTATAGGCAATAGGTACTTATTTAAAGTTTTGATGTTATTTTAAAGTGTTGTGCTAGCTATTATTTCGGCTTTAAGTTGTGTAAAAAAAGGATTACATACATATACTTACCGAGAAAATGACTATTATTAGTGATAATAAGAAATCATCCTATATACATAGGAATTACATATATATATGTTAACTTCTCCCGGGGAAATAACGTCAAAAATCTAGCCGCCGGACCAGGAATCGAACCTAGGTCTCTCGCTTGCCGGGCGATTGCTCTACCACTAAGCTACCCGACCGCATAGACCTAAGACGCTATTATCCCCAAGTTAACGGATGTTTACATATACTATATACACGCGCGCGCGCGTGTGTGTAGATATTTACTGTTTAGTTTATGTATATATAATAAAATGATAAAGTATGTTAGGTTTATTATATGGTCGAGTAAAACTAAAAATGAATATTATAATATTATTACGAATCTATATTATAATAGGCTCTAAAATTATTTTCATTAAACTTGTCTCTAATATTCTAAATTCTACTCCTAAGCTATTCATAAATCTAAAATTATTTATAATATAGGTATACACTATACCCTATACACTTAGTATTTAATAATATTAATCATAGCCATTTTATACTAATAATATAACGTGGTGTATAGTAGCAAAAGTACCTATACACTTTGTGCTAAAACGGTTAGTTTATTAAAATTCAATGAAACTGATTAATGTTGAATAATTATGTAGGTAGGTACGTTATAAAAAATAAGCGTGACAACCACATCGTAAACTTTTAAAAATAAAAATTTGTTAGTTTATAATTTTTTTTGCTGAAAATTTACTCACAATTGTATTTGTACAATACACTACCTATGAATAATATTATGTTGCTTGTTAAAAAACCAATAGTTATTTACCTAAAATTTTCAACACTTTATTGTTAGYGCCTTTTTACTTATTAACAATATTATTATTATCGATTTGTCTCAATATCGGTTGTCTACAATTTTATTTTTAACCAGCCCAAAATTTGTAAATAGATTTAATAACAGGTGCATAATTAGTAGGGACCGAGCAAAGTTTAGAATACTATATTAATATATTGTAACAGCGTTTGAATTGACCTAATCAATATAAGGTAGTCCTGTATTTTAAATTCTAGGCGGAATTCTTCGTTGTACAATGATGGGTTTTATGTCAATATTTTTTTTGTGTGGTTTTATCTTACTGTCTTCTTCTCATTAGACAATAGACGACAAATGCAACATAGATAATAGAACAATTTTCTACTAGAAGTTATAAAAATATTGTTCTACCAAAAAAAGACGGCAAGAAAATTTACACGCGAAAAAAAATAGAAATAAAAATCAACTCCAAGTATTCCGCTAAAAATGTTAAACTTAGGACTATATATAAATTATATTATAATAATAAGGTTTTTATTTAAGTTTTAAATAAACACTGATACATATTAGAATGATTGAATCGTTTTGATATATACATCTGTCAGAATCGTAAACCTATATACACAATGATTGAATGATTCAACTATTTGAATTTTTTTTGGGCGTGGGTTCGACCAATACGTGTATATTATAATTTTAGTCAATACCGAAGATAGGTTTAGGCGTTAGGGTAAAAATAATAAAAAAAAATTATTCTACAAAGTAGTTCATCAAGCATATTTACCTCTAATTTTAAACAGTTGTAAGATATTAATGAAATTTCGGGAGTTTTCGATACAACCTTACCAACATTTACTCATTAATAATATTAATTCACTCCAAAGTCAAAGTTTATTCTATACAGCAGAGTGACTTACTATTTAAACATACTTTAGAAATATAATATGAAATATATTTTTTTAATTGCTGTAGGTATTTTTAGCCTATGCAAACTTAAAAAAAATTTTTTTGCTCAAATTTGAGCAAAACAGCAATGTATGACTATTATGCTTACTTTGTACTTTTTAAGATATACTTACAACTTACATAACATAATGTTAAATGATTTATAAGTTAACTAAATTAGCATTAATTTTGAAATATAGAAGCTTATTGATATTTATAGCTGCTCTACCTACATTTAGGCATTCTTAAATCACTAACGTTTTTAGTTGTTACATATAAAGGATTTTTAAAAAATCTATTTTTTTTAACCTCCTCAAAAATATTTTTATCTCTTATTTGATATTTAACACTAAATTAGATAACTAACTTAATTAAAATATTAATATAAATATAAATATCTAATAACATTTCAATATATTTTAGTAGGTGCCCATAAGAATGTAGAATATAATATAAAACACAGAATCATTTAGTTTCTAAATAAGAATATAATAAAATAAACAAATATACATTCGGTAACAACTTTTGATTTGATAATAAAGAAACTATTAAAATAAATGTTTTTAATAGACAATCATAAATGTTTAATACATCCAAATTTAACTAATTTTAATTTTTACAAAAAAATATTAAATAATTAATACACATTTTTAGTTTTTAACAATCTCAGTTAGGCACATTAAGGTTCTAAAATTACTATATACATATAAATAACAAGTGTTTTATTAGCTAACGTATTGCATAAAAAATGTAATTTGATAAAAATGATGTGCTTTGATGAATTTTTAATGGTTATATGGTTTAACTATAAAATAAATAACAATATAATGAATTAGAACAACGCCTACTTAAAATTTGTTTCAGTGATTCTTAAGTAACATTCACAGATTTAAGTAAACTATTATTCTCAACAATATTGGAATGACCCAGTATTAAATTAACATAAAAATGACTGTTGAGGTACACAACAATGAATTAAATGGATTAATAATTGACTTAAATATTGATGATATGTTGCAATGGTTTATTCAATACTTTGTATGCTGTGTAATATATTTTTCCATGTTTGTAGYCCCTATAAAACAAAATTTTAAATTTAATATATAATAATATCAGCATGATTGTATAAAGCATTTAAATAATTTTGGATTGTATCTGTATCAAGTGTGTATACAAAAAAATTTGATTTTATAAATTGTTATTTTGTTCAGTTTATTGTGTGGTCAATTTTAAATGTTACATCATAACTAATTTAATCACTGAATTCAATAAAAATAACAACTACTCAATTATGTTCCAATAGATTAACAATTTTATTAAATATTAACAAACTATAATACACAGTATATAAAAGAAAACAAAAGGAAGGAAGGTGTTATTTTATTATTTAATATACAATCTAATTATGATAGATAAGAAATGAATTTGCTAAGCATAATATATAATAAATATTTTACTAAATAATTTCTTAATAGCAGTAATGTACTATATTTAAATTTTGAATAATATTAAATAACGTACCTTTTGAGCATACTTAGTTTGGAATGCTACATAATCTTTAAGAATGTTCATAAGATCTAAGTCTTTTTGTCTTTCAAATTCTTTATAATTTTCTAATGATTTATCAACAAACTCACTAAAATAAAATGTATCATTAATTACTATTTTAATACCAACAATGTTAATATTAATGTATTTTATTAAATTAGAAAATAAGCTATAGAGTAAATATTGAACAAATTATCAATTAATACAGGGTAAGAGCACATTATACATATAATATAAAACTCAATGTTTAAATCAACACCGCCCTTTATATATTATAATAATAGCTCAGGTCACCATTTCACTAACACCATGATAAAAAAATATTGTATGATTTTTATGGGAAAAATTGTACCACTCTTCTGCAGTAAACTACTAGTTTCAATTGACTATTTTTTTTTGAAACTATAAAATCACACACAATATAGTCAGCACTCTATAACAACATTTGTAAAGGAAAAAACTAATCCAACATTACAAAGATTGAGTAACTAACAAAATTATCAATTAGTGATAAGTAATAACAAAAATTGTCATGAGGGAACAGAAAAAAGAATATATTCATTAAGAATTTTCGTCATCAAGCCAGGAAAATAATTTTGTTAATTAATCAAAACTGACTTGATTGTTTTACAATTTATTAAAAAAATATTGTTTTTCAAATTAGAAATGTGTAGTTGATACAAAAATAGATTTATGTTCCGACTCACTCAGTGCCTTGACTAATCTGCAATCCAAAATACTAACTGAGCCATTTGCTCTTAAAATTAGTAACCTTCTTTCCTCATCAAACAAAGAGATTAGATTCATTTGGACCCCAGGTCGTTGCAACATAAAAGGAAATTAGAAGGTAGATAAAGCAGCAAGAAATGCATTAAATAGTCCCGCCAGTGAAATAATTACTTTTTTATCACTTGTTGACATAAAAAGAAATATAAACAAATATTGCATTGATTTGTGGAACTGGTAAATGGCACACGGCGACAGAAAATAAGTTAAGAGAAATTGAGAAATTAAGCACTCAGTAGAACTCTGGCTTAAATACATTGATTTAAACAGAAAAAATGAGATAATTCTTAATCAACTTAGAATAGGCCACACAAAATTCACACATGGACACCTCATGGCAGACAGATCCACCCCTATACCTAACATGCAATGAAAACTACTTCATCAAACACATCATCGTCAACTAACCAAACTTCAACGAAGCTAGGAAAGACTWCAACATTCCTGACAGCCTGTACAAAGCAATTTGTCCATTTTCATTGAAACACAATTCTATATCTAAAAAAATTGACTTGTACAATAATATATAAATTATATATAGGTTATTAGCTTTAACAAAAGTATTACATTTTTACAGTATTATATTATATAATATATTATGTATTATATTATAACCTATATATTAATAAAATAATAACCTATATACCTAGTTGAAGCTTAACCAATAAAAAAAAAAACGAAAAAAATGGGTAGTAAGAGACAATAATTAATTTTAACATAAATTATTCAAGTTTGATTCCGAGACAATTGTCCATATCCGAATACTTTATCAGGACCAATGGAACACTATATTCAAAACCCAGACATATGGCAACCTTATAATATATGACCAAACATGTATTATAAATATAACTAAATTTTATCTGTAAATGCATCACATCCTCTTAACATGAAACAAAAAAATGAATTACTTACATTTAGTAATTTAATATTTAAGTTAAGAAAAGTGAGACATAATCTCTACAAGAACGCTAATTTGTTAATTTTAAATTAATATTAAATTGATATAATTTGCATTATTAAAATTACAATACAAAAAAAAAAAATTGAGATAATTAGTGACTATTATAATATAGATTATATTTATAATATATAGAAAATGAAAAAATAATTTAAGATGATTTAGTAAAAAAAATCTCTGTATAAAAGATAATAATGATTCTAAAAGATGTTCCAAAAAAATATTAAGGTATATACATCTAAACTTGTGTTTATATACTCTATTTAAAATAATTCAGGCAAAAAGCTCAACCAAATAGCAGTTTGCGGTTATGTTTACTGCTGAAGGAGTGGTGTAGTAAACTGACGCATTGAAACAAAATGTAAGGTGACGAGTAACAACTGTAGTCAATCCGACCATTTAGATAGCTGTGCTAGTTTCGCCACTTATTTAGAATAGACTATAGCAGAATTACTTACGAATAATTTGCTTTTGCCTCTAATTTTTTATTTTCAAAAGCTTCTATTGCTGCTGTATCACGATCAGCTGTAGCTGCAGTATAACCAAAGAGTCTGGACATAATTCCACTAGTTTCTAAAACATATTATAATATGTAATGTACATTTATTTTTAATTCAATATTTAAGTAACAAAATTTTAAATTAGAGATAAGTTCAGTTCAATAATAGAAAATATTCTCTTGTTATACTAAAGAAATATAATGATTGTTCTTTATTTGAAACAGTTAATAATAATTATTTAACTGTTAGTAAAATATATAAATATCCTTTAAAATAGGTTTWGTGTTCCATAAATAATTATCACTAGTCATAAAATTATAAAAAATACCTTTAATGGAAATATTAAACATAATATCTTTTTAGCAATAATATTTTCTTTATAAGTGGCAGATAAACCGCTATATAATGATTATTATTTGCGATTCAAAAACACGACAATAATATGCACTACGCAAAATATTTATATTTTAAGATCATAATAATTTAGTAAATATTATGTATAAATACGCATAGTAAATAAAAAATAAAAAATTACCTTTATTATTTGGCATATTATTCAATTGATTTAAGTTGTAATGTAGTAAATCATGATTTTTTACAAAAGTGTGCAAGGAATTTGTAAAAGCCAAGTACCTAAAAAAAACATATTAAAAATATGTTGATAACAATACATAGTAGTTAATAAAGTAGTTTAATACATAAAATAACAAATCATTATTTTAAAACAAAGTATTGGCTTCAAATTCAAGTTGTTTTAAGTATAACAAACTAACTATTTCTATACTAAAATAATTGAAAAACAATATAATTTATTAAATAACAAAAATGTCTTACTCTTTTAATTGGTCCATAATAACCTCTTCATCTTCCAACGCTGGACTTATAGCTGAAGCAATTGAGTCCATATAATGGCCTGTTCTCTAAATATAAGAAAACTTAAATTAGTCCTGATAAAAAAAAAAAAAAACATAATAATAATATTTTATACTATTGTCATATCATATAATAGGTATACAGTGATAAACAAATATTTATGTACCCTTTCTCTTAAAAACAAAAACATTGATTTAGATTTTAATAAATAATAGTGAGAAAAAAATCTGTCTGTTAGGGTAGGAGCTAGTAGAATAATTAGTCAGAAAACTAAACAATTTTTATTGTTAATCTAAAATTAGTGTTGTAAAATAAATTATCTATACAAAATATATAATAAATTGAAACAAAAATACAGTAGAATCTGTTTAAGTCACTATTTAGTGGACCAGAATATGGTTGAAATTAAAAATAATTTTATTCAGGAAGATTTGATTCCCCAAACACCAGCCATATTATGTATATAAGCAAATATAAAACCAATTTTACTTATTTGCTAACAGAACATGGACTTTCCACATTCAAAATCAATATTAAATTGCTGATAAACACAAATGACAAATCTATTTGAACAGCCTATTTCTACTATTGTTAATGACCTAACGTCTTATTCAACTATGATGTATATATGCGATTATAAATAACCGTTAGAATACGCCATACCAATGATTTTTTTTTTTAGGTATAGTATTGAAAGTTTAGTTATTAATATTAAATTTAATTGGTTTTATTTAAGTGAATTTAAGATATATGTACAAAATTATACATTAATACCTGAACTGCATCACCAATATCATTGTCTACAGCACTGAGTTCACTGAAAATTCTACCATAGTGCAAATGAATCATGTCCACGTTGTAAAGTCGCTCTGCTTGTTTTGCTCGATATGTTAATATCTTATTTATAGAACCCTATAATACCAAATATTTATGAAACATAAGATATGAATTATTACAATTCTTATTTGATATGAGGTATACCTGTAATTTATTGCTGTATGTTTTAATTGCTTCAAACCGTTTATCTGAATTTCTACTCCTCAATGATGCATTCATTGTTTTAATTGTAAGCTCTGTATCTTTTAAAATGTCTGAAATTATATTCATGCAAATGGCGATTTTAGAAAAAGTTTTTTTTACATTGTATTTTAAATCATTATTAGTTTCAATTGTATTATTACACATTGTTTATACCAAATATATTTGACTCACTGTTATGTGATTTTGATAGATCCATCCAATTATCACATTCGCCAAGAAATTTGAGAAAACATTCGTCATAACCTATTTCAGAATGGCTAGCTATTCTCTTTAGAAAACTCTCTAGTCCTGCACGTCTTCTATCAACAAAATCTGGGTCCATAGTATCAGACACAGCTTCACTGTTCCACATAAAAGACTGTTTTTTTTCTGGAAGAGGCGGTATGACAACCCAAGGATATTTATCTCCCAAGTGGTTGTGAAGTGTCACAAAGTCAGTATATCGACGGGTTGCCAATGACAACTTTTGTATTCCTTTTGTTTCAGCCCATGTCTCGCTGTCAATTCTTCATGCACAAGATTAACAGTTATTTTATTTGTGTCATTTGTGATAGGATAATAATAAGTAATTATATAGTGGTTTAAGAACATTTTTGTAAATTACATACTTTGTTTCAATGATGTACACAGTATAGTATTCTTTAAGGCTCAACGCTGAATTCATACGCTTATCAGCTTCTGTGATACTAATACTTGCATGGTCCAGCAACGTCTATGAACGCAAATCAAAAAAATATGATTATTATATATATATATATATATTACTTCAAAACAAATTCTTTAACACAACTAAGGAGCACATTGAAGTGCTCATAGATACATACCTCTGATTTAGTGGAGTTATCCATATGTAGTGGAAATCGTTAAGCTATGTTGTTAAGGAAGATTATCAAATAGTTTTTAAGATGTAGGGCGTACAAAAAATGCGTATGTGAAAAATAAAAGTATGTATTTAATAGTGTAATACTACAATATAATTATAGTAAAACGATCTAATCGATCTGCATCTGCTTATCTGATAACTGATAAGGGAATTACAATAGATAACTGAGAATATATTATTCTATTCTGTGATATTGGGGTCTCGAAAAGTATGTCAAGGCCATTCGAATCCGTAGAAAGCTGTTGGCTATTCGAGTAGGAAACTAGAAATAGTACAATTATTCACAAATAGTCGAATGTAGCATATTAATATAACATGTTATACACACTGTGGCTAGACCATAAACATTAAACATATATATGTGTATTATACACRGTGTATAATATAATATGTTATTGTTATGTAGACACCAGAATACAGTTTGCACATGCGCGGGCAAGGTTTTTGAATTATAATCTAAAAACCTTGATACGCGATATTATCAAATATTAGGTCAGGTTTTATTGAATCTCCCGGGTAAGTTTAAAATTAAGCTTTGCTTTTTGGGTACATATTATAGCCACAGTAATAAACAATTTGTTAAAATGATCCAATTATAGCAAATTCTTTATTTAATATTACATAATATTATAGAGTATGTTTTTATAAAACAATTTTTTAGGATTATTATCCTTCATATAAATATTTTATTCACTTTAATACCTTGGAAACTATTTATTAGAATTTTTATTTAAATACTTAATACATTAATATTTTTAAGAAATTCATCCACTATAAATAACTTGCAGTTAAAAAGAACCGGCTCCTTTCAATTTGAAAAATAGAAGTTGTATCACCATAGGACACAGTGTCATGGCAAAGGTATTATTTTTGAGCAGTTGCTTACCGAACATTTTTGGTGGGTGGGTGATCCTCCTGCCACAAAATACCTAGCAACAGAGCCGCCGGATTGGTTAGGCGAGCTACCGAGAAAATCTCGGTGGGCCGCTTAAGTTAGGGCCGGTAGTGTCAGAGTGTGGGTGAAAATAAATGGGGAGAATCCGTTTGGGCGCAGTATAAATAATTTACCTGAAAATTGTTAACACGTTTGGGCGCATATAATGAAAACACCTTTGGGCACAATAGGTATTGCCATAGGCGTGCGCATGGGTGGTGCATCCTATGTCCCACCAGCGGAAACTTGAAAACTATTTTTTTATTCAAGTATTTTATTGCCTTATTTGCACGGTGGCAAAAATAGTAGTGAATACTGAATAGTGATAAATTGTAAAATAAGAATACACCACCTGCACGCCTATGGTTATTACAACTAGTAATCGAAAGTATATTAAAAATTAATCTAATCTAATAAGTAMTTAATSGKTTGATTTGTAGACCATAATACTATTGGAAAATACCACACCAAATAAAGCTATAGATATTTATCTACTAGTACAGATACCGAGGATGCCGTTTTTTTATTTTTGGAAGACTATTGAGCCAACCTCCTTGCGGTGTCTTCTGAGTAACGCTATAGGCTCAGATTTAGTAAAATATGTTAATATATGAAAAGAAATAAATACGCCCAAACGTACTTTTATAAAGGGAAATATTACGCCCAAACGTGTTATGGATTTACGCCCTAAAGTGTTCTGTTTTGGTTAAATGCGACCAAACGTATTTCCCCAAAAATAAATACATGTTAGTATAAGTAAATAAGTTTGTATCGATTTTAGACGTAATAAACCAATAAAAATAATAGAGACCCAAATTTTGTGACAGTGAATATGTAAATGGGTCGCTTAGAAGGGAAAATCTCGATGGGCTGATAAATACCAATCCGGCCCTGTCTAGCAATCTTCGTGACAAGTATATGAGTTTATCATACAAAATAGAAATATATTACGTATAATATGTGCCTTGCTTAATATGTAACATACGCTCTATATAAATATTTTTTTTAATTTCTTCAATAGTTAACGCTAAATATTAGTTTTGAAAATAATCTAAAATGTTTCATTATGTTATGTTTAAAAACAGTTTTCTTTTTTTACATGACATGATTGATGATTATAGGTACATAGTAAATAACAATTTTAAAACTAGATGGGCATAATATAGATACGTATTAAATAATTTAATAACTAGTTTTAATATATGATACTGATATAATTAATATTTTATTTTATTACCTGAAGGTCAATAATTTTATATTCTGAGCGGAGCAAAGAATGTATTGATTTTACCATGATGTGTTTTTTTTCTGTCATCACGTTTTGGGGCAGTAAAAGTAATTAAATTTTCGTTCGATCAGAAAGTGAATCTATTTGGTACTTTTTTGGAGGGGAGGGGGGGGGTAATCAAAAGTAAAAAATTCTCAATTTTCTTTTAAATCATCGGGATAAACAAACTAAAAACTAAGGGAAAAACGGGAAATTTTACGCACAATCAGTTTTCGACAAAATCGATTTTGGTTTTTGATGTAACTTTAAAACAAACGACCATAGATACATACAATTATCAACGAATGTTTAAATAAGTATATTCTATATTCTATCGACCACGCAATTTTCAAAAAATTTCGACTTAAGCTGAACTATTTATAGGCATTGTAATTTTCGATAAAATTATTAGTGTTTTCAAAATTAATACCTATTGATAAAAATGTACCTATTTGTTAAAAATTTAAAACTAGTCTCCTAACATATTTTTACAATAGCTATTGAAAAATAAAATAAATAATAAATAGTCACAATTTTTTTTTATAAGCATTCAAAGTTTGAATTTTGACAATATAAATTTTTGATAATCTATAATATATCCTAGACAGATAAACTGTCTCGGCTCAGAATCATTTTTCGTAGACAATGATATGATATCATTGGATTCAAATTTAATTCCATTCATTACAGTAACCCACTTGTAACCTACTGTACAGCAGAGCGACATCCCCGACTTACCTACCCGCTTTTTTATTTATCATCTTCATTTTTGAATTATATATGAAAAATAAATATTAAATATGCTTATTAAATCTCCTTTAAGATATGCATAGGCAATACATTATGCAGTATTACGGYTTCATTTTGCATGCCTTATCAGAAATGGCTAATGTACGAGATGAGTCTATATAGTAACTTGTGTTGTAGGTTCATTATTCATCATTACTTTTTTTATTTCAATTTAATATTTAATATTTATCGAATAATTTTATATAATAGGTATTTCTGTAAATTATAATCTCGTACAAAGTAATATGGATGTGTTACGTCCTAAGATATTGAATATTGATGGTCGAAAATATCGTTTAAATACCACCGATTGTTGTTCAAACGAGTATGATGAAACAGAAATGGACAAACATGAAATACAAACGCACAACACGGAAATATCAGAAATTCTTCCATCTTATATCGAAAGAGATGGTGAGATATTTAAGGAATTCTCTAGGATGATAGATGTTTTTATATAATTTATTAGTATTTGTGACAACAGAGTAGAGAAATTAGGTGCACAGATTTTGATAGATAAATTATTGACTCAAACCATTGTTCACAATCTATGTCCATAAAACTTGTTGTTATTTTTATAGATATCGAAGAAGAATGCGATGATTTGAATATTTACTTGGAAGGTGGTCGAAATGTACTGAAAATAGAAGTGCCAAAGTGAGTCATTGTTTAAAAAGATTATAATAATTTATAAAAGATTTTAATAAGTAAATTGATTATAATGTTTTGTTCAGCTTTAGTAGTGATTAAACATGTGGTTGGAGTATGATAGATTTTGGGATACATTTTTTATTATGATCTTATAACCATAAATTATATTTTTAATGATCAAACAGTGAATTTTAAAAAATCAGTCACATCCACATCCCTCCATCATCCTATGACAAAATTATTTAACCATCACTGTAAGCTAAGTTTTGTATTAATTCTAGGTCTGTAATATGATGTATCAGTATCATATTTTTGTAATACTCTTATGCTTAAATTGTATGATATTTAACTATAGTTGTAGTCAGTAAACACATTTTGAAGTGTCTTTGATTCAGAATGTTTCTAAAGCTTGCGTATTGAATTTGAATGAAATAATGACTCTTAAATATTAAATAAAGAATTATCAAGTAGGTATAAATGATTTTAAATTGATTAAACTTTTTTATTTTAGTACATTTTATGGTTTGATCATCGGTAGAAATCGAGAGAATCTAAAAAATCTTKAATATCAAACAAAAACTAGAATTAAAATTCCTAACATAAAAGAAAAGAATATAATAAGTAAGCTGATTTATTTAAAATTGTTAAGTATAACTATAAAGTAAGCATCATTTAATAAAGTCATATTATAAAGATACATTTTCCCTAGTAATTTTAAGTAGAGTAAAAATAAAATAAAATTTTAACTTTAACTTTATGCTATCTACTTATTATTTACATATTTAATAATTAAAATATTAAGTAATATATAAAATATTTAGTAATCTTAAATTTATCTTGAACATATTACACTAAATATTATTTTAAATCTTAATAATTATTCAATTTTTAGCTATAAAAGGAGAACAAAGAGCGCACRTCATTGCTGCTAAATCAAAAATTGATGCAATTATAAAGAGAGGTCGATCCAAACAGAGTATGACTCATTTTGTATCCTTGCCAATGGTCAATCCAATTGTGATTGAAAACTATTTGGCTTTCAAGGTACCTAAAATCCAATACATTAAACTATTTGTAATTGAAAAGATTTTATTATTGAGTTTAATATTTTAAATCATTTTGGATATAATAGAATATGGTTCTTGATGAGTGTGGCCAGTGCCGTGGTGTCAATGATCTTTTATTTCAAGATCCCTTAAGACTTCATTTAACGATTACCTGTTTTGTTCTATGCGATGCAGCAGAGATAAAAAGAGCTATCAAATTGATGGAACAGTGTGAAAATACTATAATTAAGTACAGAATTAAAATAATATGTGCAATATCCATCTATATTATTTGAATATAATTAATAACCTTAACATTTTCCTTAGATCTATGAATTTGAAATCCTTAGACTTATTGGTGTCTGGATTAGATTATATGAATGACGATCCATCGGAAGTGAATGTTTTATATGCCAAAGTAAAAAATCCTGAGATTCAAATGTTGGCAGATAATATACAAACATTTTTCCAAGACTGTGGTGAATAGAATAAATAATTTTTTCTTAATTTACATCAGAAATATTTTTTATTTGATTTATACTTATWATTAATTTAGATTTGGCGTTACAACCCAGAAGTAATCATGTAAAATTACATATAACTTTGATGAATTCTGGATTCCCTGAATATCAATGCAGTGTTAATGGAAATTCTGGCAATCGATCTCATCTTACTTTTGACGCTAAAAAAATAATAGAAGTAAGAGTGAAAAAATAAATTTATAAATAATTTTTTTGAATTTGATTAGTTATTATCTTTAATTTAGTTGTTATATATATATATTAATAACCAAAACAAGCAATTAAAGCCCATTACAGTTCTAATATTGTTTACATAAAATTGTTTGCAGAAATTTAATGATTATTCATTTGGAACGGTACAGCTGACAGACATTCATCTGTCGCAACGCCATACTACTGATTCAAATGGGTACTACAAATCATCATTTGTACTAAAACTTTAACCATGAACTTCAGACCATCAACTGTGGTTTTAGAAAAATACTCTCATCATTGAATTAATTAAATAATAAAACGAAAAAAAACTACTTGAATTTAAAAGTAAAGACCAAATAAATATTTTGTGATTTGTATATTAAAATCTTATATAGCATCATAATAAAATAATATGATGTCAAAAATAAAATGTGACTCAGTAGAAAGAACAGTCAAGTGGCTGCTGGTGATGTGTTAAACATTAAAATGTTTAACAAGTTAATAAAAAAGAAGGAATAGTTGAAAAAACAATATCTTAATATCTTGAGAACAGACCTTGACATTGATTCAATTTTCAATTTGAACGAGTGTAGCTAAATTATTAATCTCGATGACCTCCATACTAATAAGAAATTACTGATAATTATAATTTTTTCAATTAATCCCCAAATGATTGTAATAAATTCGAATATTTGATTTTTTTATTGATCGCTTCTTGTTTGGAAAACTTAAATTTCAGATACCCAAATCACTTTTGAATTATTCAAAGCATGTGKTATGTCTTATTTTTCTCTATCATATTATTAGACTTGTTTTATGAATTTTATTCTCTTAAAATATGTAAAATACAATAAAAAGTAGGTCTTAGTATTATATATATTATGTTGGTACATAATACATTATAATAATTTAAGGAAGAAATTACACTATATCATATAAAATGCAAAAGTTGTGTTTGTAGAGTTAATCAAGATTGTTGAAGATAGGATAACTATGAAATTGATTTATAAACAGTAAATAATATTCTTGTTGGTAAAAAGTAACTATAATCAATTAAACTTATAAGTTACCGTTTCTCATTATTATCGATCATCATAATTTATATTAAATAAATAATTTATCATAGGTAATTCATTATATTATATATGTTGAAACTAAGGAACTTATTCTTACTATTATTGTATGAGTACTTTTTGCCGACTAGAAAATAATAAACATTACAAGTACCTACTTAGTAAAAATAAAAATTGTATTTAATAGTGTATACTGTATTTTATATTACTTGAAAAAAATATATAAAGAATTATTATTTAAAAACACACATATGTRCTCCTTACAAATGTAAAATACATTAAAAATGCATTTAAATTTTATCTAGGCTCATACTTACGAGTTATTAGATACCTACTTAAGCACTCATATGTTTTTACTTTTTTGTTATCCTAATTCAAAATGTTTGAAACTTTGAAAGTCTGATGATAAATTTTAACAATAACAAAAATATGCTTTTTGTAAACAAATAGTTTTAGTCCATTGAATATTACAATGAAGTAGCTTTTACTAATTAACTGGAATGGTTTATTAATCTATAGTCTGATATATCAATTATTGCAGTTTGAAGTTTTAGTTATAGGTACATTTAGCGAAATAATAAAATGTATTATACTTTAAAAATTTCATTTAGTAAAAATAGAATAACTGAAATAAGTTATGGTTAGTATTTTGGCATAATACCCAAGAAAATATATTTTAAAGAAAAAGGTGTATTAGATTGAAGTTRATGAATTTATTATGATGTACCTATATAATATGAATATTATGCTATACTATGATAAACGGATGATCAATCGTTGGCTCAAAAAGTTACCTTTAGTTGTCGAGTTTTTGCCAAAAATATGTACAAAATTACATTATAATAATTTTTGTTTTTTGTTTTAAACAAGAAGCCGTAACTCTCCTGTACATAACAGATGTTCATAAAATTGGGTTAACTATGCCAAAAACATGAGTTTATCTGTAAAATATTGGCATTTTACCAGAGGATAATACTAAATAAATGCACTTCGTTGTTTCAATGACGCGCGATACAATAAAATTATTTAGGTAGGTACTTTAAAAAAAAAAAGTGGTTAAGTCGTGGATGTTACTCTACTGTATACAGTAGGTTACAAGTGGGTTACTGTAATGGATGGAATTAAATTTGAATCCAATGATATTATATCATTGTATACAAAAAACGATTCTGAGCGGAAGCGGTTTATTTGTCTAGGATATATTATACATTATTAAATTTTTTTATGAATTTCTAGCTTAAAATAGTTTGCGAATTTTCGTGRTTTTTACGTATGTTGTCAAAATTCAAAATTTGAATGCTTATAAAAAAAAAATTGTGATTATATATTTCTTTTATTTTTCAACTACTATTGTAGAAATATGTTAGGAGACTAGTTTTAAATTTTCAACAAATACATTTTTATCGATATTAATTTTAAAAAAACTAATAATTATCGAAAATTACATATACCTATGCCTATAAATAGTTCAACTTTTGTCAATATTTTTTGAAAATCGCATGGTGGATAGAACATACTTATATAAATATTCAGTGAAAATTTCATGTATCTATGGTCATTTGTTTTAAAAT